GACTTTAACACTTACGCAAAAATCTGCGTGGGTAACACTCACGTGAGTGAGTTACATAACGAGCCATGGAACATGCAATGCTGAACGTAAGCCTTCGAGACCACATAACAAACCAACAAATCAGGCAAAGATCAGGAGTTCAAAACGTCATCGAAAGAACCACGACGCTTGAGTGGAACTGGACAGGGCACTTAGCCAGAACATAATATGGACGGTGGACAAGACATATTATGGAATGGAGGCCCAAAAACTATAAAAGAAGCCGAGGACGACCACCGACTAGATGGACCTATGATATAAAACGTGTAGCAGGAAACTGGCTACAAGCGGCCCTGTGTAGAGAACACTGGAAAGAACTGAGGTAGGTCTATGTCCAGCAGTGGACGCGATTGGCTGATTGATGATGATGGTGACATAAACATTCTATCATACTTTAAAGGAAATTTACTTTGTATTTTGTAGAATGGAGATGATTAATTGAATTAAAGAATTATGTTTAGATGAGGGATAGGTACAAAAATGATAATTATTCGATTATTATACTTTTAATTATGTATAAACCAATCAATTGTGTTAGTGGTTTACATGGTGTGTTTCCTTCTTCTTTAAAATCTACCTAAAATAGCATCCAAAAAGGCCATGGTAACCGATTGGATGAATCAGGATTGTCTGAATGGCTCCCGTTTAATATCTATCGAGTTATGTAGACTGAACTTTTGATATAAGTCCTCAAGATTTCCTAATCAATGCGGGGCCTTCCGAAAGAGCACTATCGTCTTTGGCAAATGTGTTAGAGTAGCAAACGAAACTTTAGAGAACTGTAGTCATGATACAGAAACTCACCAAATAATAAAAATAGCACAAGTAGTAGCATAAAGTCTTTACCCGACACTTTTTTGATCTACTAAAATTCACAGACCTTTTTTACATTTCGTATATATCGTAGGAAAAGAATTTCGTTCATTGTTAAATTAAATTTTCATCAATATTACAAACGCTATAAATTTCCGACAACTATACACCGATTTGCATGATCAGGAATGTTTATACTTATATAAATATATTTACAATACTACTTACTACGTCCTTTATTATTTATATACACTATCCAAAATAATTGTTGACAATAAAACTGTTCGTTTAGACGTATGAGACTAAAAAGAGATCTATTAGGGCTGATGTAAAAGCAATAAGAAAAAGGAGCTCAGAGAAAAACAATTAAGAGCAAGTACAAAAAATGAAGGGACGACAATATTAAGTTTTACAAAGTTTATAGCTCGGAATAAGCTAAGAGAAGCAATATATAGACAGAATTGCCTATTTTCCACCTGTATAATTATTTTCGTAATTATTACTAGAAGACCTTGGCGTGAAAAGGATGCAAGCCACAAAATCTAAAAAAATTGTATTTTCAGTGCAAATAGTTCAAAATAAACGGTACAAGCCACATGCAACCTAGTTTCACTATTTTCCAATAGATGGCAATGTTGCGGCAAAATAACCTTTTCACAATATCGCTAAACGGTGAATACTTTCATAACAACGGTACATGCCACCATCATAAGTGAAACAATAAGTGCTGGGTGTTATCGCGATTTTGATGAGATTTCTAGTGATTTAAGCGACAAAAATCAGTGTGAGTTTAACTCAGATGATAGTATAAAGGACAAGGACTATACTGAGAGTGATATTGGAAACAGTTCATCATCCTCTGAGAAACAACAGGTCAGTTTGTGAAGTTATGTGGCATGTCCCCCTTTTCTAAAAATTTAGGCGATAAAATGTTGCAAGTCATGTGGCTTATTTTGTACCATGTACCATTTTCCAGAAATTTGTGCGAATAATATAGTGCATATTATGTCTGTAGTTACGGTAAATAAAATGCACGCCAGATAAAATCTTACTGAACAGCACTGGTTCCGACTAAAACATGGCTGATTCCGTCTGCGCGAACGAGATGCGCGTAATTATTTTTTCAAGCAAAGTGGGCATTCTGATTGTTTGTTATTCTATGCCCTGGTCCTGGCTATGAATTCACTATATATCACAAACTATTCATGTTATAACTTCAGGAGCAAAAATTCCTTAGTAAAAGTGGCCAACAGAAATCGCTGGAACAAGAATCTGCATAATATGCATTATTGGGCTGAAGAAAATCCGCACTGGATACATGAGGTGCAGGTTCAAGGTAGATGGAGTCTTAATGTTTGGTGTGGTATAGTTGATGGAAAGATCGTAGGTCCATATTTCTTTGATAGAACTTTAAATGGCGAAACATATTTGGATTTTCTGGAAAATCAGTTGCCTGTTTTATTGGAAAAAATTTCCTTACAAACAAGAAGAGATATGATATTACAACATGACGGATGTCCTGCGCACTTTTCCTGAAGAGTTCGAGATTATTTGTATGCAAGTTATCCAAATAAATAGATTGGAAGGGGAAGTATATTTTCATGGCCAGCTAGATCTCCAGACTTAACATGTCTGGACTTTTATCTGTGAGGAAGATTTAAGGACTTAGTGTACCAAACTCGACCAACCACGCAAGACGACATGAAACAGCGCATTATAAAAGCAATAAATAGTACATCAACAGCTGAAATTGAAGCAGCTGTTATGTCTACGCGCGAAAGACTACATCTTTGTGTGGACAACGATGGAAAACAATTTAATGTTTACATGTGGACATTAAGTTTTAATGAAGGTGAGTCAATACTATACTTATGTTTATACGTTTTTATTCATATCTCGAGTTCGACAAAAGCTATCAACATGCGGTTAGCGCCATTTTGTTACGAATTTAATCCAGTTCCATTATAGTTTACAATAAAAAGTTGTTTCCATTAAACATTTGAAGAAAAACAAATTTTAATTTTTTCTATTCGAAAGTTGATATAGACCAAAAAGACATAAGATGCATTGAAAACTTGTACTGGCATCAAACGGCACAGTTAAAAATAGACAATTCTATATCCAAACCCATACATGTAAGAAGGGGCGTTCGACAGGGATATGTGCTTTCCCTTCTTTTATTTAACATTTATTCGGATGCCATATTTCAAGAGTCTTTGGAGGATGCAAAGATGGGAATCAGAGTGAATGGAGTATTGATCAACAACATACGATATGCTGATGATGGTGTCTTAATTTGTGACAACATAGTCGATCTTCAACAACTTGTCACTATAATCGGAGAATACAGTAAGCTAATGGGATTAGAGATTAATACCAAATTTATGATCATCTCTAGAAACTTGGATGCACTTGAAAACTCCACCATAACACTGAATACTAAGTCCATTGAAAGAGTGAATAAATTTAAATACCTGGGATCGTGGCTTTTTGAAGACTGGGCATCGGACAGCGAAGTAAAATGTCGCATTGAGCAAGCTCGACAAGTTTTCGTAAAATTCAAGAATGTACTGACTTGTTCAGAGTTCGATCTTCAACTGAGACTAAGGTTTACTAAGGCTAAATGTGGTCAGTGCTGCTATATGGCGTAGAGGGCTGGACACTCAAAACGAGGGATGTAAACAGATTAGAAGCTTTCGAAATGTTGCCGTTCTATTGTTCTATTGCCGTATCCTAAAAATACCATGGAGAGCGAAAATCACAAATATAGATGTCCTTAAAAGAATAAACCAAGAACGCCAACTTTTCGAAACCATCAAGAAAAGGAAAACGGCGTATCTAGGTCACATCATGCGAAATGAAAAATACCAGTTCCTCCAACTTATAATTGAGGGTAAAATTGAAGGCAAGAGAGGAATGGGACGCAGGAAAATGTCCTGGCTCCGAAACATAAGGCAATGGACAGGGATTAACGACATACAATTTCTGATACATATTGCAAGAAATAGAGAATTAATGGAAAATGTGATCGCTAACATCCATTTGTGGATTTGCATCTGAAGAAGAAGAAGATTGAAAGTACCCTCTACCCAAAACAATTAAAACTAAATGCAATTGTTTTATAGTAGATGTAAATTAAAGCATCCACACTCGGTTGATCCAAACCAAAGTTATAGATATTTATCCACAAATACTTTCCCACTCTCCCCCACCTTTTATTTGAAAAAATAAAAAAAAACAACTTTGTGCGGAATTTAGGCCTCTTTCTAGTTTACTTATTTAACATTTGGTATAATTGGGCATATTTCCCAAAAAACTGCTTTTTAAAGTTTTCTTTACAGGTTACGCCCCCTAGCGGTTAACCCAGAAACTTGAAAGTTATTTCCGGCGATTTCTCTTAGCCACTTTTACTAAGGAATTATTTCTCTTAAAGTTATAACGGCAAATTAAATGGGCAAATGTAATGGCCAACGTTCTTAAGGATAAGGCACCGTAAGAAGAAGAAAGTTATAACATGAATAGTTTCTGATATATAGCCGAAAGATCGGCTTATTGGACCACCCGGTACAGAAAAAACTTAAATAGTGTAAAAATTGTAGCTGTAAAGATGTCCTCAATATTTTAAATAGTCTATACGTCATAAAATGTCCGCACTGGTATCCATATTAAAAATAAATTGCCACTAAGCACCTGCAGCGCCTGTAATTGTTTTATATATAAATAATAAGATAAAATTAGTGTGCACATAGAAACATAAAATATAATTTTACATGTACACAACCGTACGTTACACACAGTGACCTAATATATGAAGAAGTTATTTAAAATACCCCCTTTTGACTCCCAATCATGCAAAAGTTTAAAGACTTAAAAATATTGATTTTGTTTATAAATTAACATACGTAAAGTTCTCGGTAAGCGATATCCTTATTAAAGGCTTAAATCTAAAGTTAACCCCGTTAATAACTGCTACAATATTCAACAAAAAATCGAACATTACACTCTAAGTTGTTTTATCTTTTTGTTTTTACAAAAACACCCTACTAGTAGGACTTAAACTTATATCGTAGAAATGGACGCCGTTCAAACGAAGGTTTGATTGGCTTAAAAACAACACAAATGGTTTTTTTCCACTCAAGTTAACTTGTTGACAATAATGACTAAAATCTTGTGATATTTGACTACTAAGTATCGTCCGACATAAACGAATTTTGTGACTTTAACTCTTCTAATTCCTTTATTTGCTGACGTAAAAATAATATTCTGAAAATAAAATAATATGATTTAGAAACATAAAACACAATTTTATTTTATATACAATTCTGTGGCTTGGTGCAACAAGTGCCAATGTCAGTATTTATTTGACTTATTTGCCTTTAAACATTTTGTTTAAATTACACATTTTAATAAAGACGTTGTATGATGTTCCTCACGTTTCAAATTTTACGTTTATTTGAAATAAATACTAAAGTACCTACATTCTTGTTATTGTTTTTCTTAACCCTCTAATGCATATAACCGCCTTGAGGCGGACTTTGATTAAATTTATATTAATATGAACGAGCGAAATATTAAACCTTTGTATACTATAATACAGGTTGTTTCAAAAAGGTATGTCATAAATTACGTCACGCATTCCGGGGACAAAAATAAATTGATTGAATCCAATTTCTTCTCCTTCTTAGTCGTTAACCTGATGCAGGTATCGTGATATCATGATATATATATATAAGGTTCTTGAACTCCTAAGTGGAGCATAGAGCTTCAGTGAAAACGCGCCATCGGGTTCTATTTTGCGCTAAGGCCTTCACCTCATTCCAAGACTTTCCTTGTTTTCTTATCTCGTCCATGATGGATCTTCTCCAAGTTTGTACTGGGCGACCTTTTTTTTCGTTTTCCTTGGGGGTTCCACTCTAGGCAGTCTTTGCAATACTGGAGTTATTCTTTCGGAGTGTGTGACCGATCCAACCCCACTTTCTGGACTTTATTTCATTTACTACACTCTTTTGTTTGGTCAGGTGTAGTAAGTCTTCGTTTCTGATGATGTTAGGCCAGAAAATACGAACAATTCTTCGTAGACATTTATTAACAAAGACCTGCAGTTTGTCTGTAAGGGTTTTTGTCGCTTTCCAGGTTTCACATCCGTAAAGTAGTACAGACATGACATTTGACTGGAATATGCGGATCTTTGTCCCTCGTAGTGTATTCTCCAGACCTCCAAACACCAAGTGATATCATGAAGCTGTTAGGTAATTTTTCCAATGTTCCTCCACGTTTTTCTATCTTCTGCCAATCTAGCACATTCTGACAATGGAGCGCCAATGGTAGCAACAATATGGCCCGTGTATCGTGTAGGAGATCTACCTCTACTTCTTTTGCCTTCTACTTTTCCCTGGATGGTAAGTTTTTCAAGACGATTTCTTCGAAGCACATGTCCAAAATAGCTTATTATCTGTTCTGTTATTTGTGTTCTTAGTCTTTTCTTTATGTTTAGCTGGACCAGTATGGATTCAGTTGTTCTTCGGGCCACCCATGGTATTCTCAGCATTCGTCTCCAGCAGTACATCTCAAATACATCTATGTTCTTTTTGTCTTTCTCAGTAAGGGTCCAGCATTCCGATGCATAAGTAAAAACTGGAAAAACTAGACTTCTTACTAGTCTTATTTTTGTATCGGTAGTTATTTCATGGCTTTTCCAAATTTTTGTTAATTTTGCCATAGCGCTTTTTGCGATTGCTGACCGCCGCTTTATTTCTTCAGTACAGCCTCCTTTGTTGGTTATTAATGAGCCCAGATACACAAATTTATCTACAACAGCGATATTGTTTATCCTAACCAGATGATTTTGATTGTTGTTAGCTCTGTCAATTATCATGATTCTCGTTTTATCCCTGTTTTATTTTAAGGCCCATCGTTAAGCTTACGTCTTCTATCCGTTGTAGCAGGTGAATCAATTCAGTTTCAGAACTAGCGAGGATAGTAGTATCATCTGCATATCTCAAGTTGCAAATCTTCTTCCCGCCAATGGTGATGCCACCGTTCCAGTCCTCAGTAGCTTTCCGCATTATCCATTCACCATAGATGTTAAATAAAATTGGGCTTAGTATGCAGCCTTGTCTCACGCCCTTTGTGACCCTGAAACTGTCAGTTAGTTCCCCATTTATTCTAACTCTGGCATAATTGTTATTGTACAGGCTTTTAATTAGCAGTATCAGATGATTAGGGACTCCCATTTCAGACAAAACCTGCCACATTTAACTCCAGTTGACCAAATCGAAAGCTTTACTATAATCTATGAAGCACAAATATGTTGTGATGTTGAATTCTCTGGATGTTTCTACAATCTGCCGTACGTTAAAATTTGTTCTCTAGTACCACGTCCTGGGACGAAACCTGCTTGTTCCTCCGCAATGTTAGGTAGTAAAAAGGGCTTTATCCTCTCGAGAATTATGTGTAAGAGTATCTTACTGCATAATTAATCTTACTGAATCCAATTTACCTTAGTACAAAACTGTACACAAAAAAAGTTACAGCCCTTTGAAGTTACAAAATAAGAATTCCGTGATTCAATTTATGACATACCTTTTGAAATACCGTATATATAACTGTAGTATACTATATAACAGTAAACAATTATAGCCCTTTCTTCTGCATGACGTTTTAATCTGCCAAATGTGTTCTCCAGAAGAAGGGCTTATATAAACTTGTTTCAATACTCTTCATTTCAGAAGAAAAAAATGACATTTTATAAAGGCATTCTCTATTATTAAAATTACAATTCTTAAAACTAAAACACTTAAAAAATGCAAGTGTTGGTACGCCTTAGGCGTTGATCTTAAATATTTGAATGCTGGTTTCTCAAAATACACTTTTGGCATATAGACCCTTGTTTTAGCTACCGCCTTAATTTTCATAGTTTAACTTTAGGTGTCTTATGACCATGGACGTATAAACACAGATGGACTCAGTTATTTACATAAAATTGTGTAGTCAAAATTATTTGAATAGGTCACATTCTCAGCACCTTCCACTGTTGTCACGTTTTGTTTTAAAATTTCTTATTCGCAAGTCGCTGAAAATATTACTCCGTATTTTATACTCTACATGTGCTATCAAACCAAAATAATGATTTATTGGCTATATTAATATATTTAATTGTAATTAAAATATCGAATGTGCACATAGTGTGCATTATCATTTAATAATAGCCTATAATAGATATCAATCAATTATTTTATATGTAGAAGCACTGAAAACTATTTATACATGGCAACGGTTGTTTACATTTCTCTGTCTTATGGATCTACGTCAAACTTCAAATGCTGTTCCATGTTTGTTTACTTTTTAGTAAAAGTTGTTTTTTGATATTTTGGCTGTATTTTGAGTGTGTGAAAAGTGAAATAAAATAAACGAAATATTTACATCCCGATCTCTCATTTCATTTGTAAGTACATAAAATTTACATTATTTAAGATGAGGAAATGAGGAAGCGGGTTTGTTTACATTTTAATAGGCGTACCATTGGGTTTATTCATGTTCATTAATGTATTAAATAAGATATAAGTTCATGAAATTAGTAGACATTTTTAAATTGTAAGTAGACATCATCTGAATAAAAAAGATCTATTTAGTACCTTTTTAATTTAATATTTCGCATGGATGCAAATAAATTAGTGAAATGAATAAAACTCATTTATTTTTTTATGTAGGTTTCCAAATAATATTGACGATCGAACTATTTTGGTAGTAAATTTAGGAGAAAACATAAAGATTTTTTATTGTAGCATTATTTTGATACCTATTAAAAAATTAACTTGAATTCAACTATATTTTATTGTATTAATTTTAAAGCAAATAAAATTGTATTTTATTTTTTCTATAAAGACGTGATTTGTTAATAGTTAAACTCTCGTTTTTTTAAATTCTTTGAACGTGTTTTTAGACATTATTACTACTTCCAATTTTTAAAATCTGAATAATTACCCGCGAGTAATAATTCAAGCCCGCTTATGCTCATTGCGGAAGCATCACATTCTATCGAAGCTTCAAAACATTGTGTGTTAAAGGTATCTTATTGCTGTGTCCATCTATGTTTATACGTCCATGCTTATGACCATTTCTAATTACTGTAGGATATGATAAATTATTGTACGAAATATACAAAAAATTTTAACCCTAAAACTACTGTTAACTTATTTTGAAAAAAAAAAAGTGACATTGGCACTTCTTGCACCACCAAGCCACAGAATTAATTTGATAGGAAATGATAATAATGTGCATAAAAAGAGATCGTGTGCTAATGTCATATTAGGTTCAAGTAAAATCCAATGTATCATGGCCTGTCTTATTTTTATTCAGACAAGAGGAAAAAAGCACTGACGCTGTGAACAATTTATCGGAATTCTATTATCAGTTTTGTCATTAATATATCTTAAAATTTTGATTGTAGAGGTTGAATCTATAGTCAAAATTACTATCAAAATATGAAAATAAAGATCTGAAGAAGGTCTAAAAGGAAATAGCAAAACATTATCGAGAACTGCGAAACAGTCAACAACGAAGAAAACTGTCTGTTTGGTGTACTTAATGGGCTGGTGGAATCATTGATCCGTACTTCTTCAAAAACGATGCTGGTCAGAACGTTACAATCAAAGTATAGCCCGGTTATATTCATTTGAGAAAAATGCGATAAGCAGCACTATGACCGGTGAATAACAGGATAGTACCGATCTACATGAAACATAATATGGTATATTTTACAATAAATTGGTTCTATAAATTTGTATTGTTATAAACAAAGCTTAATTTTATGTCTTGATGATTTTGCGTAAGTTTATATTACTTTAATCATATTTCTGCAATGCATTTTCTATAAAATGTTCAAACCATAATTGGTTTGTATACAAAAACTAATTATTATTTGAGCGAACGGTAGGTACTGAAAGATAAAAAATATATATTTAAATAATTTATAAAACCTTGAAGTAAAAAATTAAAAGTTTATCTAGTCAACACTTACTTACATTATTATTTTCTCTTAAGAACTGATTTTCAAAGAAGTAGATATTGCAACAATAAGTGAAGTGTTCATAATAAGGCCACGTGTTTCTTAAAAAATTGAAGTAGTAGTTTGTTGTTGAACATATGTCGATAATCCCTACACTTGATTATGTAAGAAAATATTCCGGGTAAGCTCAGTATTTATTGGGACTATCAGTAATATATGGGAGTACATCCCATATATTCCAGATCATATTTAAATAAAAATGACAAAAGATCATCTTTCGAATAAAGGCGCTTTTATGTCAATTTAAAAAATTTATTTGTTTTATTCCACTTTAAACTCTATACCTCTAAAAAAAGTATCAACTATATGAAACCATGATTAAAAGTCTCTTCTAATCCACGAGAGTAAATGAGAATAAGAAACAAGCGGATGCAATTTATTAAGATGGATGCAGTGAGGAGATCTTTATGTATTTCCAGAATAGATCAAATTAGAAATGACACAATAAAACAGTGTATACCCATAGAAGGAAGTATATAAGACAGCAGGTTCACATTGTTCACAGAATAATCATCATCATCAGTGGTGCTACAGCTCTAGTTGAGCCTTGACCTTCCCCAGTCTATTTCGCCAGTCGTTTCTGTTCATCGCCAACCGTTGCCAATTTGCCGCGCCGATTTTCCTTGCGTCCTCGTCCACACCGTCCCTCCATCTCAGTCGTGGTCTGCCTCTACTCCTATTTCCCACTGGGACCGATAATAGAGTTCGTCTGGGTGGGTAATTTTCATTTGCTCTTGACACATGTCCAGCCCATCTAAGCCTACCTATTTTTATGAAGGATATTACATCTCTACCATTTACTATTTTTTTATACTTCTAACAGTTCACGGAATAATACACTACATAAATTCTGCAATGGAAAGTAAAAAGTAGCAACAAAAAAGTCTTTGACAAGGTTTGCACACAGCTCCTAGTGAGAGAGAATTCTGAACAAGAGTGAATGAAAGAAATTCCAGTACTTTTTCTATAAAATATGGTGTTCCGCACAAATTTTCAATATGTCAATGTTGTTTAGCATAATAGGTGTCAAAATTTACGAAGTTTATAATATTTTGATGGATGACTCTGCGCAAAACTGTTAGTGTACTGCACGTGTAGTAGTTATTTCCAATCAAAGTTAGCACAGTTTAACTGAAGAATTGGAAAAGCTTGATTTTTATTATTTGTGTCATTTATTTTGTGCCAACATAGTCTTTTCGCTCAATATGCTTGGTTCCAGCTGTATTACTACATATGAAAAGTAATTATGATCGAGCTCCTCAAAATACTATAATTTTGGAATATACTCTAACTGTTCATTACAGTAAAGCATCCAAGATGCATCAGATCTACTCTTCTCTTTAATTCTGTAGTGGCAAAATATTTCCAATTTCGTTTATAACCTCTAAACCGAAATTTATAAACGTTTGTTGACACAACTGATATTGAAAGAACAACAAAAAGGTTAAAAAGAAGCCTATTACATAAATATAGATATAGGTACTAATATATTTAGGGAGATACCTATTATATTTTCCACTTTTCTTAACATATTCGTGACATTCACGCAGCACGTCAAAGCTGTCACATTTCATATTATTTCTTAAACAGAAATGTATCCATCGTATTTCGATTAAAATACTTAAAAAGTATTTTGTGTCTAACCTGTAAACAATAAATAGTGTTAAAATCTAAGGGAAATAAACAACACCGACCTGTTCTATAAAACCAAATTTATATAAGTCCAATAAGTCATTGTTCTCCATCTTGAGCTATAGAATCGTCTATTGAGGATTTTGAAATACGAACTTGTTAGTGAACTACCTCTGCTTTGGTTTTATTCATGCCAAATATGTCTTCGTTAATAGATTACTTGTGGGTTGGATACTAGTGACACAACCAGGTTGGGGGGACAAGGAATGAGCCTCCATAAGATCAATAGTGCCACATCAACTCCAAAGTAAACACTATTGACGGCACCCCCTGGAAACGTCTACTAGTAAACGGTTAATCCTTCCAACACCAGACCAAACCAAATCAGATGGCAAACATCAAACCACAAAGGTTGTTTTCAGAGCCAACACTGACGGCAGCGAGCATAAATATCGAGGCATCACTACAGCCAAACAAGACATCTTATCAGAATTCTGCAAGAACATGAAATGTGAGCTATTGTGCACCCAGGAAACCCACAGAGAACTAACTACACCGAGACCGAAAGTCTCCGGTATGAAACTGATTGCGGAGATTCCACACAATAAGCGGTATTTGTGAGAACTCAAACCATTGTCTCATCTGTACGAACAAGAAATGTACACGGTCTAGAGATAATAACCACTGAGATCGGAAATGAGCAATAACCTCGGTATACAAGCCCCCAAACCAGCCTTTTATATTTTCACCCCCAACGAACTTCCAATCACAACCTAATCAGCGTGTACTGTACTTTACAAGTCACAGTTTATTCTGGGGCTATGCACATTCGGACGCAAATGGAAACGCAGTAGAAGCATGGGCCGAAACGAGTGGTCTCACGTTAATCCATGATCCTAAACTTCCACCATCTTTTCAGAGCCAAATTTGGAAAGGAGGATATAATCTCGAAGACCGATGTACCAAAACTCAGCATAGGCCGATTGATATAAATATCTTTCCAATTGTCAGACCACAAGCTATTCCATTCAGAAGGAGATTTAACTTCAAAAAGGCAAACTGGCAAAAGTATGCAGACATGCTAGATTCTGAGCTGCTACGTCTTGAATCAAACGTAGAGAACTACGAAAAATTTGTAGAGATACTGAAAAATGTGTCTAGAAAAGCTATCTCCAAAGACAACAATATGTTCCCGGGATGTCCAGCGAATCCAAAGAACTAATGAGAACATACGAAACCCTCTATTCCACTGACCCTTTTAGCCAAGAACCGATTGACCGTGGAGCAGTACTACTCCAACAGCTAAGTCAAGCCAGACAGGAAAAGTGGATTGAGACCCTGGAAAAAATGCACATGACACATAGCAAAATAGCATTGAACCTTGTAAAAAATCTTAGCGGTGATCTAAAAGAACATAAACCACCTTAACTCCTTATGAATGGAAGAACTACAAACCGATATAAGGACCCAAACACTAGAAGAAGATTGGATTTGGAGACAAACCACCCACGAACTCCTTTTACACTAAAAGAACTCCACGACGGTATGAACAGTTAAAAAACGTTAAAAAATTCCATAATAGCCTTGTTAAAACCAGAAAGGACCCAGAAAATCCCAGTAGCTACAGACCAATTTCGCTATTGTGTCACTTTTTCAAACTATACGGGAGACTCATACTCGCCAGAATAGAAAAAAATGTCGCCAAGCACCTCATCCAACAATAAGGAGGATTCAGACCCGGAAATCTTACACCGATCAAGTCCTCGCACTAACAGAACACATTGAAGAGTGTGGAGAAACACAGAATATGGAACATCTTCTTACATGCAGAAACTGTCCTCATCGATGCACCCTCGAGGATTTGTGACTCGCTAACAAAGATGGAACCGATGTAACCCGACACTGGGCCGAAATTTTATGAATGACATGTCCGGACACGATAAAGTAAAGTAAGTACAAACAGGTTATCTGGTTTATGATAGTGTACCTGCACTCTCTATTTCTTTTTCTTCATGAAGAAATAAGAAGAAAAACAAAAATTACAGATGTTATCTGAAAGATTCCCATGTTAAAATGGAACTGGGCGGGAACATAGGAAGAATGGAATGGACAACCTTTGGACGAAGCGAATTATTGAATGGCGACCAAGAGGAAACACGAGAAGTAGAGGCAGAGCTCAAACCAAATGGACTGAAGACATCAATGGACACATTTAAGGGAAGCTTACATCCGACGATTGATGGAGTAGCTGTTGATGATGATGATAACCTGCACTTTTACTTTTTGTTCATAGTGTAAATTGTTCATTTATACAAAAAAAAAAGAAGTAAGGAGAAAATGATCGCAAACTATTAATGATCAATAAAAGTTATCTGGTATATAATACAAAATTATAATTACCTCTGTTCTTGTAAAGTTGCTTGAATTTCTGTAAGTCGAACTATTGACCTTGCAGATTTGAGTTCGGCTGAAACCTTGGAACATTGTATACTGCCCATTATATGCGCTTCTTCTGCCAACTTTTGAGCCTGCAAAACAACAAATAATCAGAATTGAATATATTTAATAAAAGCTGTCTAAATAAGGATTCGAATTTGAAATTGGAAAGAAAATTAAATAGATAGGGTTGGAAACTCAAAAGAGTCCAACCCTCATATATGGCAATATACACTGGATTTTGTGAAAATAATGAAACAGGTCTAGTTTTATTTCAAAAGGGTCAGTTATCAATAAATAACGATATAGATGTGGCATTTGTCAACCTCCTCCCTTCCAGTACCACAAATATTTAATTTTAAATAGGAGATGTATCATATGTGACACATCATTAGATAGATATTTCGCTAGAGAATTCAGAGATCCATGCTTTTATTTTCATATTAGCTGTAGATTTTCATATACATCAATATACACAATTACAGTCCATCCACTGCGCTAGTTCTTTGCACAAGTATGACAGTATTCACGAATATTTTTCTCCCTCTCCATGCAAAACAGCATACACCGAACAAATACAGGCTATAACGATGGTCAGTGATTAATTCGCCAACTTCCTGGCAACTGTAAGTTTTGTTTTGATAGTTTTTGTAGTGTGTTCATACATTATTTTCATGTTATTTAAACATTCAATTCATTTTCATACTTTAAATGTATATATTTTTTAACAAATATTTATTATAACGATTAATCGTTAGCTTTGTGTTCTATTTATTGGAATTAGTATTTATTTATTAGCTAGTGACGAGAAATAATCTATTCTAACCTCTAAATTGACATTTAGTTATTTAAATGTGGCTAAAGCCACGTCAACGGGTTTTATTTTTACAGTATGCATGGTAAACCATTAAATTCTCAAGCACAACAACTTAAATGTGTTATAAATAAATGGAGGGCATTTGGAGCCATTTTCATCTCTTTAACAGGTAATATAATTATGAAATGTATGTTCGGTTAACAAAATACTCATATTCTGTAGATGCTGCATTAAAAAAATAACGGCCAGTATATACAATGATAAAAAGAAAAAAATATAATCATATCATTTCAAAGCCAGGTAAAAGTAGACCTCGTCCTAAAAACAAGACAACAGATCTATCTGGGGGATCAAAAATTGCAATATGAAATACATGTACAGTTGCGTCACGGAATAGTTTACAGGTTCACGTATCTAGGAGCCCATTTTTTAAATTTTTACTTCGTTTAAACGCACCTTTTACGTCAAAGTGACGTTGCCAGTGGTGTACTAGCTAGAATAGGTAGATTAAAATTAAAATATCAAAATATTTTACAAAATGAAAAATATAGAAAACAGTTTTTTGAATAAAATGGATTATGATCTTAATAACGAAAATAAAGAAGTCTTTTTTTTTAATATGCATTTTATTTTAAATCTATTTTATATTAAATAACGATAAACAATGATAAATAATAATTAATATTTGGTGGAAGCCCCATTCTTGTCAATAGAATTTTGCAGTCTTCTGTTCATAGATAGCACCAATCCCCTCATGTTATAGTTAACAAGCTCTTCCCATGCCTGCTCAATTGCTTCCCATAATTCAATTCTCTTCCGTGGTCTAAGGTTTCTTTCATTTAGTTTCTTTGTTAACTCTACCCACACATTTTCGACGGGGTTAAAGTCTGCACTACGGGAAGGCCACGGAAGAACATTAACATCAGTTTCTTCTAGCCATTCTCGAACAATTCTACTCGTATGCACCGGCAATTGTCATGTTGGAAGATAAAGTCGTTGTTAGGGAATCTCTGGATCACCGATGGCAACATTGTGTGCTCAATAATATGTTTGTAATATAATCCTGTTAACTTCTCCTCTACATGATAACAAACGCCCGGGCCTTCGGCACTTATCCATCCCCATACGTTGACAGAGAATCCTCCACTATTTCTTAAATGATGCGTATACTGTTCATCATACCTATGATTTCTCGGCCTATAAACTCTTATTCGACCATTATTATACGACTGAAATACTTTTTCATCGGAAAATACAACCCTAGACCAAAAATTCTCATCGCGGTTTATAAATTCATTACAAAATTCAACTCGTCTCCTCTTGTGATCCTCAGTCAAAAAAGGTTTCCGTGCAGCTACACAATTTAGCAGTCCACTTGCTTTAATTCTTCGACGTGCAGTGCGAATACTGCCTGGAAACGCTGCCTCTTCTCTTGCCTTTTGAGCTGTGGCAAAAGGAGATTCTCTCAAATAATCTACTAACATCTCATCCTGTTGATCTGTGGAAATCTTCTGCCCTCCTGAACCGCCCAACCGTGCTATAGAGTGAAAATTATCCCATCTTTGTTTAATCTTCCATATGCACATATGACTCACGTTCAAATCAGCAGCAACTTGCCTTAGTGACCAACCTTCTTCGAGTTTGGCAATTGCTCTTGCTTTTTGCGCATAATTCAAATGTATTCTAACCATTTTGGAAGAGTTTAATATACTTTTATTTTATTATTGAACACTCGCGAAAGCATTGACGTTTTGAAATTTTTTGACTTTGACATTTATCAAATCCGTACGACACTGCAATTTTACAGTATTACAATATAAAAAGTAAGGTGTAAACTATTCCGTGACCGAAACAGTACCAACAAAGTATGTATCAATTTCTTTAATGTGAATTTGATAATAAACCAGGATGTATTTTTTAATCATTACTTTATATAAATGATGTTATAAAAAAAAGATCGATAAGAATATTTATATTTCAGGAAATTTGTACAGAATACATTGATTGATATTAAGTCACTTGTCTTGCATTTTTTTTTTGAAATAATTTAGTTTTGGCAGATGATTACGGTAATAATTAATGGTTCAATATTGAGTATTTACTTTCCTCTGGCATATTCACAACTGTCGCAATTACAAAAATCACTTCAATTATAAAAATAAAGAAATCACAAAACGTACAAAAAAGTGTAATAAAATCCCAAAACTAAACGCAACCAAAACGTGTTAGGAAGTGACAGCTGTCAAATTTGTTTGGTTAGGTTATTTGGGAAGGGGATATTGCCACTTGACATCACATATAACTAGCTGCTTTGGGGACAAGAATCGGTCCGAAATTCTAGTTTTTGAAATTTTCGTTTTGGCCAGCTTTTTATGTAAAATACCACTCTGAGCTTTTTATGTAAAATACCACTCTGTGCGACGTAAGTTTGGCTCCCATGTTTTGGTTTATTTTCTATAATACGAATGATGACTGGTGCAACGATCCAGCGGACCTAGTGTATACTATATCGATAACAGATAAAAATACTTGTAATAATCTTTTAAACATATCTAGTGTTTATAAACGGATTTTCACAGTGAACATAAAAATAGTACAAGCTAGAAACTCACCTGTTTTTCTAACAACTCGGCCGGCCATCCCCTTACATGATTAACTAGATCATCTCTATAATGATTAACTAAAGAAGGTGTAATTGTGGGCCCTTGTGGTCGTAAGGCTTGTAAAGAACTAGATACACCCTGTAGTGTTTGTAAACTTCCAGGGGGACTACTCACAGGTACTACTGCAGCTACAAACAATGAAATTATTAGTTTTTCTAGGATATAAAGGATGTAGAATCATAATATCACTAAAAACAATCAAAACTATATAACACAGCATACAAAATACAGTTATAACACAATATGTTTACGTATATTGTAAAATACATAATAATTGTCCTTTAAAACTTGCTCTAAAAAACTTTACAATCATAATATAAAAACAATTGCTATTTAAACATTTTTAAATATCTTGGGTTCATAGAAATCTCTGCTTGTATTGTAACGTGTTAAAAAGTCGCCACGTGATATTTTGTCTAAATTTCTATAGTTTCTAATCAGCACTAGACAGCATAGAACAGTGGTTCCCAACTGGTGGTCCGCGGACTCCTGGGATCCGCGAAATACGGCTGAAGGGTCCGCAAGATATAAAAATAAATATATGAAGAGCCAGGGAAAAAAACGACATAAGTCCATTTTTCAAATTTTTTTAGGAGAGTGAAAATAAAGTTGTTCTCTCTAAATCTTGAAAATTAATAACATACATCGCGCAAACTTACAGTTATATCAAATTTTAGATTGTTAACTATAACTTTGTTTATATACCTAAAAAAAATATTTTCGTGTAAGACAGATTCGGCCTCCCCTCTTCACCACCACAGGCACTGGAACTAGATGGGATTTTAGTTTGGCTTTATGCCGTTAAAATGCGTCGCTGAAAATTAGAAAATACAACTCTGATTACTTGGAAATGGGTTTCACGTTCACTGGCCCTGAGCAGCAACCTAAACCTCAATGTGTAATTTGCTACGAAAGCCTTTCGAATGAGTGTATGAAACCAGCAAAACTCCGTCGGCATCTTGAGACAAAACATCCAGAGTACAAGAGTAACCTATTCGATTTTTTTAAAAACAAACTACAAGAGCATAAAAGATCTCGTAAAAACATTACTAAACACTATGGTGCAAATGTAAATAAAAATGCAACTCTTGCATCTTATAAGGTATCTCAGCTTGTCGCTAAATGTGAAAAAAACCATACAATTGCTGAAGAACTTATACTACCATCAGCAATAATTATATGCAAGAGAATGTTGGGTGATGCGACTGTTTAGATAATAAGTATAAATAAAGTGTAGTAAATTGCATTGTTGATAACCAACCTTCGATACTTTAAGAATAAGAAGCATTTACTGATAATCTTGTAGTGCAATTTAGGAACAAGCTGTCATTAAATGCAGTATAAATAAACTAGAAGAAAATGCAACAATTAAAGTAAGTCTACATATATAAAGTAAAAACTAAGTATATAGAGTAGACAAACAATTCATACGGGGTCAGTATCTGATAATATCAACAGCAAGAGCAAAAACATACAAATTTATAGAGGTAGAAACATTTTAATATCTGGGAAAGATATTCACGAGCAAACTTAATATGCAAAATAAATCCAAAAGAGAATTATGGTCAATTATGCTGAAGAGCTAATTTATAGTATTTATATTCAAAAATAACATTATAGGTTTTTTTTCTGGTACAGTCAGTATTGGCCATTTCAAATATGTATTATTTTTTTCTCGACTTTTTCAGTCTGTAAGATGTGTGAATACTCACCTGACCAACTGTATTAAAACAATAAATACTACTGCTATATATTACTGCCTGCTGTAAACAATTTAATATAGGATAGGTGTCTCTACAATTGAACACAGCAGATACTTAACAATGCTATATAAATTCTCACCCTTTGCACAATCCGGTGTTTCAGAGTGAGTAGGCGTAGGTGGCCCCTCAACAACACTTCCCGAATGATTAGTGTCCACACTTAGAGTAGTAAGCACTGCACTGTCCCCGATGTTTGCAACGGTAGTTGTCATAATTGGAGGTCTTTGAAGTACTCCTTTCTCAGAATTTTCAGAAGTCGGCGTACTTTGGGATACCATCCTCGGTAAGGATGTAGTCAATGTTAGACTCACTGGTGGTCCTGGGGTATTTGAGATTGTTACAGTTGATGGAACTGGCGTGTTTTGCGGTGACAACTCCGTCCTCACTATTGGATTAGATGGTATATGGATCGGATGGGAGATAAGTTTCGGTAGGGCATTTGCTAACAGTACTGGCCCTATTGTATTTGTTTGGTCTGGTGCCTGGAACAACACAAAAAATATAGTCAATTCACAAGTTATTTGGTTTTTATATGAAAACGACAGAAACATTGAATGAAAAACATACCAATTTCATTATCCCAAGTTCATATTTTTTAACATTAATCTACTGTTAATGAGGCTCAATCAATTGCAAGTTTTTTCCTTTAATAGAGAAAGAGTTGAACAATTTATTGAGTCTCAATATAGGTTCTATTACAGTTTTATTGTAAAGAGTTCTATTTGATGGATTATGAAATGGGTTATCAGGATGACACATTATATTAATTTGTCTAAGGCAGACTGTTTCACCCCTTTTATATTATTTTTAGCAGGACCTTTACAATTATAGAACTACTAAACATTTATAGAAATTGTACAACCATATTCCACCATGGACCTGCAAATAATTTTATAAATATTGGCAGCAATTTCAATCATAATTCCCCCATTCTTGTATGTTAAGTGTCTAAAATGTTTTGCTCTAGTTATAATGTTTATTTTTATACATGATGTGTGATAGTTGAATAGTAACAAATTACTATTGGTTAGTTTATTTTCACATATGTCACTACGGTAGAGGTTGTACAATAGAGGAGACAGCTGCTAACCCTGTGGAACTTCTAATTGCTTTGAAAATGATTGGGAATATGTTCAATTAATTTTGACCTGCGTGTTTTAAGAAAATGATTTTTCATAAATTCAAAATGGTGTGCTGGAATATGTTAATTTAATTCTTCATATAATCTTTAGTTTTAGGTTTAGGAATGTATTTTCTTAAAGCAATTCATTTTCTTCATGCATATTATGTGACTGGCCATCATATCATCATCATAGTCATTAATGTCTTGACACATGTGTGTTTTGGTTCATCATTGAGATTCAGCAGCTCGGATAGTCTGATCAATGATACTTCTCCACTGGTCGTGGTCATCTGTTACATGTATTGCTTCAGTATACTGCTTGTTAAAAAGCTTTTTCGTGATGTCTGCTCATCACGGTGGAGATCTGTCACGTTGGTGTTGACTCTGACGCCTTTCTTGGACCACTTGCTCCAGTTTGTGATCTCTTAGATTGATATGATCAATAACAAAATTCTAAAAAAAAAACAGTACTAGAGAGATGCTGATTGGGTTTAATTTCATCTAGAACCGAGATATTCGTACGGCAAGCAATCCATGGGACTCTAAACATTTGTCTCCGTGTCCACATTTCAAAAGCGTATATACTTCGTATATCTGATTCTTTGACTTACCAAGTCTCACTTGCATAGTAAAATATGGATGGCCGTCATATGCTAATTCTGAAATTTGTTTAAATGATTTATACTTGGACAGTTTTTCACATCTCATTCCAGTATGTTTTACCCTTCACTGAGTTTGTATTCTTACATACTAGGATCCATTTATGTTGTGAATATTCTTGTTTAGTTTGTTAAATTGTGATTTTTTAGAGATAAAATGAAGAGTAGAAGATTGTTTTTAAAAAGTGATTTCTTTTGCTTGGATGAGTTTTCTATTAATAATTTAGAAATCGTAACTTTGAAATTTTTAAGTTAATTTTACAAATCTCATGTCTTACATTTAAAAATGCCTCATTCTAGTATTTACATTTTGTACATTATATGTCAAGCTGTAGATTACAATCAAATTGCACAGCCAGATTATCACTGCCCATATCACTAGAGTTACAAGTATATTTGTAATATTATTTATATTTTTAGAACTTATTGAGATATCCATTGTGGTTGTGATTGGGTTATCTGCCATTATAAACGTAGGAGCTGTAGGTATTTGACAAAAATTAAAATTTTTGAGGGAAACATTTGATTTGCTTCATATGTGGGGCTTAACTATGAATAATCACAAGGGGATGCTTTAGTGAAGATAGCTTCTTCAATTAAGGAAGAATTGTGAATGTAAGAATGTATACAACAAACATATATATGTAATTTAGAGTCTTTGGAAGGGGAATGAAATGTGGATCTAGTTATTGAGTTGTTCTAGTTTCCGTCTAGTTGTTTATTCTTAAATTTTCAATGATTTTCTGACAGTAGGGCTGCCTCCTCTGAAGATTTGGTTTAATAGTATGTCCTTTTTGTTGGATTATGTACCAGTCATAATATGGATTATTGCAGTATATATACATCAGTATATATCGCAGAACGTACGAGGTGACAGAAATATATTCACAATTAAAAACAAGGGCAAAAGATAGCGGACTAAAAATAAATATTCGCAAGACAACAAAGCTAACACATGCAAGAGTTTAGGAAACAGACGCACAGTTGAATTAGAGGACAATATTGAAACTGTAGACAGTTTCGCATATTTGGGAGTTGAATTAAGCACAGATGGAACCAGATTAAATGTCTGTCAGTTTTAAAAACATGGTTTTGAAAAAATAATAAAATTTGTGTGACTGAAAAAAGTGTAATACTACAAAATATTTACAAATCCATTTCTGTTAGCAGATTGCAATAAAAAATACTAGAATAATATAAAAAGAATTTACCTGTTGAGATGTACTAGTTGAATATGAAATTTCTGATGTGGGCGTACTGTCTCCCGGCGATATATCCATATCTTGGGTGGCCTGAACATTATCTTCGGTATGTTTCTGAGACAATCGAGAAGAATCCTTAGAGGATGTGTCCCCGTCATCTCGGCTACTGCTACTACTCCAATGTCGACTGACAGTTGCACTTTCACGACTGTGATCTTTAGTGCTCGTGCTGCTACTGCTGTTAGCCGCCCGTGAGTTGGAATGTTTCTCATGTCCTGCAGTAAAAATACATATAAATAATTCAAATCAATATAAACCGGTAAATACCGGACGGTAAAATAGGTAGGACAAGATTCACGGATCACAATGTCGCGACTATAGATGTTTTATTTAAAATAGCTCGTTTTATTTAAACTCGCTACAGTGGTGTCACGTGTGTGGAATAATTTATTAATTTAAAAATAAAATAAACAGTGACTTTTGAAAATTCGAAAAGGCTTTTAAACTTTTGAAAAGACGAACTTTTGAAAAGTATTCTGCCCTCTTAAGCCAAAAGGGCGTATCTCAAATTTTTGTTATTTTCACTTTACTGTTGCTATGTACTAACCGGAATATAGTACTAAGCGAAAAAGCCGTATCTCAACTTGAAACAGGCTAAAAACGCAAAGAAAAAAGCACATCTCAATAAAATGTTCAGATCGTAAGCCACAAAGTCATATCTCAAGTTACTTAGCAAAAATGGCCTTTCTGCGAGTTAAGGCAAACGGAACAGAACAGAACAGATCTAAACTGAAATGACAACTTTTCTTAGCGAATAGGACCTTTTTCTGAGGACCAAGGATTGTAACACATGCCAGATGGCGAAGTGAGCGCGAGGGTACCTAACTCAGCTGATTCATTTTCATTTGAGCCTCAGTGTTTGTAATTGGAGGTTATGTTTGGTATTTGTGACAATTGACAACTTTTAGGTGCTTTGGTGCAGAATCAAGTCTATGTTCAACAATAGTTATGTTGTTAATTGTTTATTACTTAATTATTTATGTCAGGAGGAGGAGGATATTGTGTTCAAATATTCCTAATCTGACATTTATTTTTCAACAATATTGGGTATGGCTTTCAATAATATCCTCAGGCTTTCCTGTCGACCAAATCCTATAATTTTGAACATTTGGTTTATTATTGAATGTAACTGTACATTAATCACTAAACAAAAATGTTTTTTTTTTAATTGTCTGTCTGCATTAGCCCTCTCTAAAATTTCATAACAAAAATTCCGCTCGTCACTCAACTTCTCTTAGTTCTTCATGACATTGAAATTTATATGAACGAAAATTATTCATGTTTAAAATTTTTAAGACCGTTAAATTATGAATATTAAACTGGTCTGCAATGGTCCGAGAACTTATTTTAGGATTTTCTACAACTGATGTTAATACATTTATTTAATTTTTATTTTATAAATTTCTTGGTACCTCAGCAATATTTGTACAGGTACAATTAGAAATCACGGTTCCAGTACTTTCAAAATTTTGTAAAATCCTTTGAATTGTTGAATCGACTTGTTGAAGAAGATCTTTAAAGAACAACTGAAGGATGTTCTCAACAAGAATGGAGATAACTTAGAGACATTCCATTTTCAATCAGCAGAAGAAGCAGTTTTAATTAGATTTAAGAAACTTTTATGTAGAAAGCGTAGTGATAAATTTGAAAATGGTCCATTCATGAATTACACAATGCTGTCTTCGAGATTCAAGACTACTACACTATTGAGCATATGTTGAATCCAAAAAATGTATGTTAACTTCAAAAGTTGCAGAATTAGTACATCGTTTTCCTATAGATAAAACAATGTTGACAATTTAAACCTTTAAACAAATATATTGTACGTATACCTACTATGAATATTAAAAAAAAAAACAAAAAATGTGTCCTTACTCAAATTTGAACGGCTACAACTGCTGTAACTCCTATCAGAATCTCTATCTCGATCCCTATTCCTAAATCGATCACGATCTCGTTCTCTTTCTATCCATTCTCTTGGTTTCTCCCATTGGGATACTTCTGTTTTGCAATTATAATAATACTTCTTACCAGATGAACTGACATGTTCGGACCAATCCCCTACTCTTACTATTCTGTCTCTGTCATCTCTCTGAAAATTAAATGTTGCATTAGTATGGCAAGTAAAAGATTTCTTTGTATTCTGATTAAATAATTGTACAAAACAAACATGACAAGGAAACATTTTTAAAAATTTGTAGTAGTTATCTGTACAGAACTTGCCAAAGCAAATATCCAATATCATTGACATATTTATTGTTTCCGAGTTAAAGTTAATAAAATAGTAACATTATTAGTCAAAAATCGGAACATAGGGAGGATATTTACCTTATCTACACAATTATTATGCATCGGTTTTCTATCCCTTGACGATAATTGAGACGTCTTTATCGGATGCAAGATACTTTTTTCATCATTTCTATCAGATCCCATTCTGTGTTCAGAATCTCTACTACGCTTGTCCTTTGGTGACCTGGCACTATCTGTAAATCGAAACATTTATTAGTAACTAATTATTCAATTAACTATCCTCCAGCAAAGAAATAATGAAATCAGCCATACGCGTGATAATGTAAGTTATCGCATAATTTAGCTGAGTTTTATCGAGAAGCGTATCAGTAGCGGAGAATTTATTTTTTATTTAGAGTGTGGCATGTTAAGAACAGATAATTAAAAGCGATATTTTTATAAAAAAAAACGTTAAATGGGGAATTACAAACGAACATCTAATATAATAATAATAATAATAATAATAATAGCGTTTATTGTCCAACAGAATCCATTTATAGGACAAAATACAATACTAAAGTTAAATGAAATATTAATAATTCATAGGTACTAACTAAATAACACATTTTTCGAGTATTTAACATAAAGAAACTACTTAATCACCTAGGTAGATCTCAGCCATCCTAGTAAGCTGCTTTAAACTGCAGTGAAATATATCGCAGTAAGCACTTAAGGAGTTATAATAGTTGCACATGAGAAATAGAGGAGAATTTAACATAAGATTAGTTCTAGCTTGTGTATTTCTGAACGTAATCGAATTTCTCACTGGATAAGATGGAACGTTAAAATTTATTTGTCGAAGAATATCAGGGCAGTCAATGAGATTATGTAGTAGCTTGTACAGGAATATTAGGGAGGCATTAATTCGTCTAGATTCTAATGATACTACGTCCAAACCGCTACACAACTCGCTATTGCTGATGCCCCTCCTGGGATATATGCCGTTAATTTTGAAAGACAAAAATTTTAAAAATTTACGCTGCACATGCTCTATAATTTGGATGTGTACATCATAAAAAGGTGACCAAATGACAGAAGCATATTCCAGTTTACAGCGTACAAAAGTGTAATAAAGTAATTTAATTGCCTTAGTATTAGTCAGATTTCGACTATTTCTAATTATGAATCCATAAGATTTAAGTGCTTCTTTAACCTTTAAATTAACATGTTCAACAAAGGTGAGTTTATAATCAAATGTAACTCCAAGGTCTTTAATTTTATTCAATCGTTCAAGTTCATTGCCATCGATAATATAAGGATGGTATATATTAGACTGTTTCCTAGAATAACTAACTACTTTGCACTTATTGGCATTAAGATTCAAATGATTTGCATTACACCATTCATGTACACGATTCAGTTCACTCTGTAGAAAATGACAATCATTAAGGTCGCTTATCAATGAATAAATCTTTAAATCATCGGCATAACATAAACATGGTGCAGAAATTGATTCACACAGATCATTAATAAATAACAAGAACAATAATGGACCTAGATTAGAACCTTGTGGAACCCCTGAAGAAGCTAGGTACTTTTCCGATTTGTAACCATTATAAGCAACAAACTGCGTTCTATTTGACAAGTAGGACCTCATAAAAGTCAAGGCATCCTCAGAAAGACCAAAGAGACACAATTTAGAAAGTAATACGCCGTGGTGAATTCTGTCGAATGCCTTCGTAAAGTCAGTATATATGACGTCAACTTGACTTCTATTATCTAGGGCTGCTGAGATATATTGTGTGACCATTAATAAGTTTGTCACAGTGGACCGATTGGAGACAAAACCATGTTGATATTGAGATAGCTGATTATGAGTGTGTGAATAAATACGATTATACAAAACTATTTCAAAGACTTTCGATAGATTACAAATAATGGAAATTGGTCTGTAGTTTTCTACCTGACCCTTTTCACCAGTTTTGAATATTGGGCACACTTTTGACTCCTTCCAGAGACTCGGATATTCCTTGTTAAGAAGACATAAATTAAAAATTTTTAAAAGTGGCACAGTTAAGGCACCTATACAATCCTTAACCAAAAAGGATGGAATATTATCAGGTCCACACGTCATTTTGTCTTTCAATTTCTTACTCGCAAAAATTATCTCAGACTCTAAAATAGGATAAAAATTTAAGTAATCTGCGTTAACTGAGGAAGAGTTAGCCTTGAAATTAATATCTGATGACAGAAAAACACTCTTGAAAAATTCTGCAAACACATTCACAATATTTTGTGGGTCGGAGGTACTAATGTCATTATATTTCATCACACCAGGAATTCTTGAACTATTATTTTTTGAATTTACATAAGACCAAAATTTCTTGGGGTTGAAGGATAAAGCAATTTGGATATTCTCGACATATACATTGTATGCCAAACTGATTTTTGATTTGACAAGGTGTCTTAACCGTTGAAACTCAAGCAAATCACAATGGTTTTTGAATCGTTTAAACTTTTTTCTAAACTTTGCTTTTAATTTGATGTTGTGAATGATATCAGCATCGAACCAAGGGGGGTATTTATGGCTAAAGTTTTTATAAACTGGAATATACTTATTAAACACAGAAAAAATCGTATCATAAAAGTTATTTAAAATCTCATTAACGTCATTAGAAGTATCCAGAGAATTCCAATCCGTTTCATACAGTTCTCGATATAAAGCAGGAAAATTTGCTTTTTTAAAGTTGTAAGTTAATTGCTTCAAACCACACTTAAATTTAGGCTCTTTTACAAATATATCCGTAAATGTTATTAGAAGAGCAGGATGATGAGAGTCTTCATAGACCAAAGGTGAGTCATCATGCTTCACATCACAACTGAAATGCGATAAGACCAAATCTAGCAGTCTACCCAAATGATTAACAACATTGTTAAATTGTCTAAGGCCAGTAGAGCCCGCAAAACTTAAAACTACAGAAGTTTTGAAATCAGACATATCATTATCTATAAACCTTGAAACATTAAAATCGCCTAGTACTATACAGTCATTATTTAAGTAATCAAATTGTGCTAAGCAATCGAAAAAATATTCAAAGTCTACCAAACTTAATCTATCAGGTAAATAAACAACAACTATATAAAAATATTTGTAGCCAATCCGGCACTTGGCAATAATAAGATCAATTAGTGGAAATTGTGCGTCGAGAGCCGTGATGTCCAATATTTCAGATGTTATGAAATCTTTTAACGCGAGCACTACACCACCACCCTTCACTTTATCCACTTCATGGAATTTTCGGTCTTTTCTGTATACGACATAATTATTCGGAAAGAGTTCCATACTCGAAACATCACTGCGTAACCACGTTTCACTTAATGCTATGATGTCGAATTCACAATCACTAACGTTTGCATTAAATAATGAAATTTTGCTATTAAGGCCGCGTACATTTTGATAATAACATGTAATTTCAACGTATTGTGATTTACTTGATCTGAAACTGCTGGACACATTTAGTTTAAAGAGCTCTCAGTTTTACTGACTATGGTAGGTCTACCCTTTACGTACTTAATGATCAGATTTTGTTCTCCATTGTCTGTTCGACGTTTCAGTTCGGTCCGGAGGTCATTTAAGTATTGTCTCTGTCGAGGTGTTTTATCATCAGAAATTGAAATAGCAGAGAAAGTAGATGTGGCTAATTTATTCTTAATACGCAAAATAGACTTAGCCTGCGCGGGTGTTGAAAAGGTCACTTTCATTAGACGGGCCTTATTTGATCGTTTACCAATTCTGTGTACATGTCTTGCAGAAATCGGATTTGAATTACCACTTTGTATCGTAGTTAGAATATCATTTACTTTATTATTATCTTCCATAGCAGAATTAGTTTCTGGTACGTTATACAAAATGATATTGTGCGATCGATTAATACGGTCCATGGCTTCATATATCAATATAATCTAAAATCTAAAACATTCAATTCAGGTCTCATTCAGGAATTCCATCCTCATAGTTTTTCTTGCTGTTATCTCTTTACTTCTTTTGTTTGAACTCATTTCTGGAATGTATTATTTTTATTATTATAAGCAAAAATGTAATATTCTATTACATATTTTCTTACTCGCCACCAATGATTGAATTCAAAATTATCAAGAATGCATGATAAACACGTGATTTCGGCTACTTTTGGCCACTTACGACGTGTGATTTGTAATTTATAGTTTTATTATAATTTGCAAGACTATAGTTGCATTGTGCAGATGGAAATTGAACTAAGTTTGAATGAATTTTTTTATGCAAGTATTCAAAATGATCAATACGAAAACGAAATATAGAAGAAGACATCCAAAATAGGCTAATAAAAGCAAACAAGTGTGTTTATGCATTAAATAGGTTACTAAAAATAAATATTGATTAAGAGTTGCCAAATTAAGAGTATACAGAACGATTATTAGGACTATAGTAACTAAGGCATCAGAGACATGTACATTAAATTTGTTTTTGACATTGTTTTTAATCTGTACCTGTATAAAGAATTACATTAAAGATTCATTCATTAAAGATCCCTACGGATATCCCTGGAATAATTATCTTATATGTCGAACAAAATTGAAACTAAGGCCGTCAGTCCCGGGCAGACCTTAAATGGTCCGAGGGTGCTAAAAACCCCCACGACTTCAATATGTTATTTATAAAATAGCGACATGGAACGTCAATAGTTTGCGCATCCCAGGAAAGTTACATAACCTGCTCAAAGAAATGCGGCACCTATAATAGAAGTGAAAACAATGGGTGTAAGTGAATTGAGGTGGTCTGGCTCAGGTATTTCTCACAAAGACAACTTTACAGTGTACTATTCCGGTAGCGACGTTACAGATAATTACCACAGACATGGAGTTGCAATAGTGCTTGATAATAGAACCGTGATGTGTGTTATAGATTACATACCCGTTTCAAACAGAGTAAACATAGTGAAGTTAGCCGGTCAACCTATTAATATAAATCTAATCCAAGTTTACGCACCCACATCTGATAAACCGGAAACTGAAGTTTTAGATTTTCTATAAAGACATAAAGGAAGCATTAAAGGCCACAAAGAAAAACGATATCAACATCATAATGGGCGAGTTTAATGCAAAAGTCGGTAGGGGTAGATGTATTAATTGAATTTTGCAATGACCACGATTTCGTCATATCCAATACGTGGTATCAACTCCCACCAAGAAGATTGTATACGTGGCGAGCACCAGGAGATCGTCCAGATCATATGATATGAAATCAAATTGATTGCATTTTGATAAACAAATGATTCCGCAACTGTATAAAAATAAGGCTTCTATTCATCATCATCAGTGGTGCTACAGCTCTAGTTGAGCCTTGACCTTCCCAGTCTATTTCGCCAGTCGTTTCTGTTCATCGCCAACCGTTGCCAATTTGCCGCGCCGATCTTCCTTGCGTCCTCGTCCACACCGTCCCTCCATCTCAGTCGTGGTCTGCCTCTACTACTATTTCCCACTGGGACCGATAATAGAGTTCGTCTGGGTGGGTAATTTTCATTTGCTCTTGACACATGTCCAGCCCATCTAAGCCTACTATTTTTATAAAGGATATTACATCTCTACCATTTACTATTTTTTTATACTTCTCGTACAATTCGAAATTATATCGCCTTCTCCAAATACCATTCTCACAGAATGCGCCCATTATTCTTCTTAGTATCTTCCTTTCGAAGACGAGCAGAAGATTTGCGTCTGTTTTGGAGATGGTCCATGTTTCTGACCCATTATGTCAGCAAAGGTTAAAAAGCCATCTAATCAAAACTACATAAACACTTGAGAATTAATGAGAGATGATGAGCTTAGATCTACATACAGTAAGCACATCAAAGAAAATTTGAGAAACATAAAGAAATTGTATAGAGGAAACCGACAGGGGTGTATTTTGTCTCCTATGCTCTTCAATCTCTATGTGGAGACCATTTTTGCATAGGCACTGGAATGCTTTGAGTGTGGAATAAAGGTAAACGGGTTTCCGATAAATAACATTCGTTACGCTGACGACACCCCGATAATAACAGACAACGAACATGACAAACAGTTGATGTTAAATAAAATAAACACCGTAGGAAAAGTATATGGCTTGAAGATAAATGACACTATGAAAGTACTATTAGTAAGACGGATAGTAATAGTTGCTTAAGGACATCAATAATTCCTTAGTTTGCATTGCTTCAAATAGATATGGCATTAATCCAATAAAAAATGTTGGACGTTATTTACAAAAGGAAAAAAACACATACAAGTTAGCAGACCAACGGTACTTGCAGTGTCTAACAAAAAAATGGGTGGTACTGATCGAATGGATCAGAATGTTGAACAGTACAGGATTCAAATTAAAAACAGGAAATGGTACTGGGCATTGTTTATATGGCTTCTTGATGTTTCAGTCAATAACGCGTGGTGGTTGTATCGAAAATCAAACAACTCTCAGATATCCCAAATAGACTTTCGAAGAGCTATTGTGCAAGTTTATTTGAAGAAATATTCGTCACCCCCCAAAGGTACTGGAATGACTAATTCTAGCACAAAGAGTAGCCGATGAAATTAGATATGATAGGATGGAACACCTAGTGGATAAAATTCCAAACGACAAAAGAAGACGTTGTGCTGGAAGATTTTGCAGAAGTTACACACGCACGATGTTTAAAAAATATAACTTAGGTCTCTGTATTGATTGTTTCGTTACCTATCACACAAACCAAACATTTTTCATTATTTTCAGTTTTTAAATAAATAGAACTATTTACAGATATATTTTGTATTTTGCACCCATTAGCTCCTAGCGTTACATATATGTACATCATATACTGTCATTTATTCATTTATTTTTATGCTTCTACCAAAAAAAATTATTAGCATCACATTAGAAAACTGCGAAAATATAATCTGGACACTAATAGGTTAAAGATCTCTAGCTCTCTTAGGAAACATTTTTCGATAAATTTTGATTTATGTCAAATCGACATAAAATGAATTACTATTAAGCTGGGAATAAGCCACAATTAAAGATAAAAATACGTTTATTGACGTTTCAATTTCCACTTCGGAAATCGTTCTCAAAATACAAACAGTAAATTAAACAAATTTTGTTTTTTGTTACATAGTGAAAAAATTCTTCTAATAATTTAATTTTACCTGACTCATTTATATTGACAATTCAGACATACATTATGCATTTTAAAGTAGACGACTTTAAAATGATATTGCCAATATTGTTGAGTTGCGCTCCTGGAACGACTTTACTTATAAGATAGTTCATTCGATTACATGAAATCAACTTTAACTTGAGAATATCCGTCAGAAAAAATCATAGCATGTAATTCGTCTTTAAAAAGGCAAACACGTGACATGATGACAGTAAAATTCTCCTGTTAGTGATTCCATAGTAAATTATGAGGGAAAAACCAGGAAAAAAATCTCAATACTATCCCGACATTGTAAGTATTTGTTCGTGAATTTAGTTTACCTTCAACAAACATCAAAATTCTGATATGTTACGTTATTTAAAAAACATAAATTATGTATCCTCTATATGTTACTGACTTACTAATACTGGTATTTTCTTATTAATAACTTCCTCTTTCAATATTGGTAACCAATCCTACTACATTCTGCCGAGGAATTTGCGACACAATTGGCCTCATTTAGCATAATTAGAGCCGCTTCTTTGATTTTTCTTTAAAAAATTAAATTTTTTAAACTAAATTCACGAACAAACACTTACAATGTCGGGATAGTATTATGAGGTTTTTTTCCTGGTTTTTCCCTCATAATTTACTATGGAATCACTAACAGGAGAATTTTACTGTCATCATGTCATGTGTTTGTCTTTTTAAAGACGAATTACATGCTATGATTTTTTTCTGACGGATATTCTTAAGTTAAAGTTGATTTCATGTAATCGAATGAACTATCTTATAAGTAAAGTCGTCCCAGGAGCGCAACTCAACAATATTGGCAATATCATTTTAAAGTCGTCTACTTTAAAATGCATAATGTATGTCTGAATTGTCAATATAAATGAGTCAGATAAAATTAAATTATTAGAAGAATTTTTCACTATGTAACAAAAAACAAAATTTGTTTAATTTACTGTTTGTATTTTGAGAACGATTTCCGAAGTGGAAATTGAAACGTCAATAAACGTATTTTTATCTTTAATTGTGGCTTATTCCCAGCTTAATAGTAATTAATTTACAATGCCACAAGAAAATAGCTTCAAATCGACATAAAATGAATCATTAAATTAGCAATGTTTTTTTTTGTGTAAAACGTTTGTACACAATTTTTTTTGTAATTTGTTCTCGTTCCTTACCTGAATACTTATCCCTCGACATCTTATAGTCTCTATTTTCTCTCTCCTTTTCACGAATTTTCTGTAGATAGGAGTTTTTCGATTGATAAGATCTGTCACGGTCCCTGGGTGATTGAGAGTCCGGACTGTCTGACCTGTAATTGCCATTGGGTGAATCCCGAATCCTCTCATATCTGTCACTACTCGATCCATAACTCTTCGATGAACTGTACTTCGAACTCTTAAATAAAATAAAAAATTGTCAATAAAGAAACACTAAAAAGGTAATACACACACTTGCAAGTTTAAATTTTATGAAATGCAAATGAATCTTTTATTTGCTGATTGTGTTGTGAATGTCTAAGTAACGTGGACATCAACGATCTGACGAAAAAACTAACAATAGATATAACAGACATAGCCCATAATTGCTATAAAAGAAAAACACAAAAACGTAAGTTACAAAAACAAAGCGATGAATGAAATTAAAAAATTTAATTATTGGAGAAAACAGAAAGAACAAGAAGGATGTAGTTAAATGATTAAACAGACAAAAAACGCAGAAATAAAGGGGTTACTAATAATGAAAAAGGATTTGACCTTATCGATAAGGGACCAAATCTAAACAAAATTTATCTTATAAAGTTATTAAAATAAATCAATACTTTTTGAGTTGTTGAAAATCAAAGATTTTGATTTTCCGTGAAAAAAATGCACGTTTTAAAGCAATTTTTCATAAATAACACAAAAACTATAGTTTTTATAAAAAAGTTGTCATTACCAAAATTGAAGCTAATAAAAAATTGAATAAATTCCTTGCTTCAAAACGCTTTTAATGTTTAAAGTAAGTTATAGGTAATTAAATGTATTTTTTTTCGGCTAGTATTCAAATCTGAATATGCAAGCTTAAATAGCGGGAAAATAATGCATTTTATAAAATATACTTATTGAACAATTCTCAAAGTACTCAGAAATACCTATAAAATGATCTCTAGAAATTGATAGCATCAAAATTAAGCAAGTTATGATGAAAATAAGAGGACCATTTCGAATTTTTTGGAAAAAGTGAAAAATAAAACATGCGTCATTTCCACAAAAATTAAAATTTATAGTAATCCTTATAAGACTTTCTTTATTTTAGCATAAGTAACGACCTTCCAAATTTTGACCGGTTTAGAATGCATATTTTTGAAAAAAAATTTGATTTAAAAAAATCAAAATTTTTAAAATTTTGATAAATTTCATTTTCTTTTGAGAATAACTCCATATATACTCAATATACTTAAAAAATGATGGAAAACAAAATTTGAGGTATTTTTAATAAAGATTTTCCTTTTTTTTTATATATTTGTAGGATAAAAAATAACTGAGATAAAAACGTTTAAAACCTAAATTTTACTGCGAGAACTATGTAACCGGGGCCCTTTAACCTCATATCTTTAAAAAAATAAGAGATTTAAAGATTAAATTTAATTAAGACTTTATAGCCCTTGAAATTATCACCTTTCCAAAACCTCACCTAAAAACCAATTGAAATTACCTTTCAATTGGTTTTTAAATAAACGTGATATCATAAAAATTAACGGAGTAATTGTAAAAAAATCAGTAACATTTTTTTAGAAAAATTTTTGGAGTAGATATTTTGTATGTATATATAGGAAAAAAGATAGGTAATAAGAAGTAGGCGTGTCGATAGGTATACGCTCACGAAATGTATAGACTGATACCTCAAGTACATGAATGGTTTCTTAATGAGGAATGCATATTTATGCAAGATGGAGCACCATGTCATACTACAAAATCAGTGAAAAACTTCCTGGTTAAGAATGGTATTCCTCTCTTGAACTGGCCGCGAAATTCTCCTGACCTTAATCCCATAGAAAATGTTTGGGAACTTCTTAAACGGGAAATTCCCAATGAAAAAGTCACAAACAAAATTGTTTTAATTGAAAAAACTAATATATCATTGGAACCACAATGAAAAACTGAAGCAAAGTACCTTTAGTTGCATTTTAAAGTATACCAAGACGGGTACAAACGGTAATCAAAGCCAAAGGTGGTTCAACAAAATATTAAAAATTATATAACTAATCTTCTCAAATGTTTTATTACTGTTTATTATTAAATATATTATAATTAAACCTTTTTACATAAAAAAATTAAATTTTAAAATAAATTTCTAATCTATTTCTATTTTCTATTTATATTCTATTTATATCGACAGTCAATAATATCCAGTATTTCTTGTATATGCATATATATATATATATATATATATATATATATATATATATATATATATATATATATATATATATATATATACAAGAAATACTGGATAAGGACTGTGACTGACTGCAACCCTAATAAACTGTGTTATTTGTATGTATATATATATATTATATATATATATATATATATATATATTATATATTATATATATATATATATATATATAATATTGTTCTAAATCTTTCAATATTTACTTATGATAAATCATACTGTTAAATAGTAATATAAATACATAATAACAGATGGTAGCTAAAAATTTTGATAACCTTATCTTCGATTTTGTTTATATATTTTTTGTTGATTAGTTATTTTGGTTATTCATAAGTTTTGAGTAAACGTTATTCATTTATTTGTATTTGTTTGTAACTTGGGCTCATATGATTAAGAAAACTAGTAGGCATTCAAATTATTATATTAAATGGTATGGAAGTCTATTATAAATTTTAATGAATTCATTTACTGTATGGGATATAGGAAAAGGTATGCAGTTTTCCTATTCTTATTTAAATGATATTCGAAAGTGCTGTGGCCGTTCGTGATATTTGAATTTAAAAATTTCTGTATTTTAATATTTTCTCATTTACATCATAAACATTCAGCTCAACTATTACTGCACCATTTCTTACCATATCGAGTTTGGTATAACCTTTAACAAGTCTCATAAATTTCATTTCTTGTGCCTTTATTTGGCTTTCTTGTCTTGTCCAGATCTTGCTTTCATATGTCAGGGTTGATACAGCAATTGTTTTGTAAAATTTTTTCTGTGTATCTTTTTTTGTGTTTTTTCTTACACTTCTGCTGATAACTCCAGATAATATTGAATTTGTTTAATTTTTGATAGATATTGTTTCCAATTCTCTTCTTCTTTCCCGCGAAAGCAATTCTGCTTGTTCATTGTCGAATAAATAACTCTGTGGACTGTTATCTCTACATCCTTTGTGTGATCATATGATCCTTCTACCCTTTGGTAGAAAAAAAGAACCATTGTCAAAAAAAGAACCATTGTCAAAAAACCGATACACAGCCTCCAATAATCAGAACTGAAAACCAAAGATGAATGATGCAAAGGAAATGGATAATATAGGTACATGGAACATACAGGGAATATTCAAAAGGATAAATGAGTGTAGAGGAAGCATTCTAATCCACGTTGCTAAGAGGTTGTGGCTTTCTCTGTCCTGTTCGACTTCAAACCACCTTTCCCCACCACCAAACACCCTTTCTGAGTATTTGCAATACTATAAATCTACAGCCATGGTTGAGCTTTTTCTACCCTGTCCCAGAATATTGATTTTCAAGAAATACTTTATAATAACTTTTGAAATATGGAAGAAAAAAGTGATATGACAACTGAAATCACCACTTTAAACAGTTGACCAAATTTTAATCTTAAATAATTGTGTTATTACTTAATTTTCATAATTTTTCGAAATGTACAAGGAAAATCATTGCAGAATTAAAATAAGTCTAGGTTTATACAGGCTGTATGAGATGAAACAAAATTATGTTTTGATAATATAGGTTTAAGACACCCTGTAAATATAGCTTTTCATGTCTCAAAACTATTCTGCACAGATGCTTGATTTTTCCCTATACTTGGTTTTTTCTAAGGTATCTCTCTAGCTCCAAATGTAAAGGAACTAATCAGAACTAAGCCAGTTACAAGTAGAAAAGGATGCATGGATTAACTATCTTAAAAAACTCTAAGCAGAGGAAAAACATATATCACTAGAACTGGAAACACTAGAAAAGCTGAAGAACAGAAAAGCTGCAGGTAAAGGCAGACTACCAAACGAATTATTGAAATATTGTCAAGATGTTTTAATAACACTATATAGCAAAACAGACATATTAACATTGAGATGACATCAAGAAATTATAATGACATATGAATCAATAAAAAGACCCAACACATCATCATCAGTGACATTAGTTATTTATATATTTATTTCAATGGTAGAACCATTTACAATAAGATAGAATAAATAGTAAAAAGTAAAGATCATGTACAATAAACATCAAAACAATAACAAAGAAACAAGAAAGCAGTTAAAATTTGTACATTAAAACAGTATATCAAATCACAAAAGTTAAAAAAAGTATCACATATCTAGATTAATAATTAGATTCTTAAGTTGCCTTTTGAAAGCATTAATGTTTGGGCAGAAAGGATCCAATAGGAGGTCATTGCAAGAGCTGAGCATTCTCCACAAGGGAAAATGATGAGCATAATCAGTCCTATGCAAAGGAATATAAAAGAGCGCAGTGTGTTGACTTCTATGTATTGTGTTTAAGTGTACATTGATTAATAACGAGGGACAATTAATAACATTTAGAATTTTAAACAAAAATAACATATCAGCTCTCATCCTATATCCTATATAGTGTTAATGATCACAGCCCAAACAGTACATAGAACACTTACTATCATACAGGTGTACGCCCCCACTGCAGATAAAGATGAAAATGAAATAGAAGAGTTTTACAATGACATTAAAAAAGCACCAGACAGCACCAATAATAGAGATATAACAATAACAATGGGGGATATTAATGCCAAATTAGGAAAAGGTAAATTGGTAATTCAGAATAGGAATAAGGAACGAAAGAAGGGAATGACTGACAAAATCCTGTCAGGAGTTTAAAATGACAGAGACAAATACATTCTTTCAGTTACCACCACATAGAATATATACATGGAAATCACCTGCGGATAGCGAAGCAAAAATTATCAGAAACCAGATAGATTATATCGTTATCGATAAGAGATACCATAACTCCATCAAATCGGCAAAGACATATCCAGGAATAATTGATGGATTCGACTGTTACTTGATGGAAATTCATTTTATGTAACAATAAAACACTGAAAACTTTATTTTTAAGAAAATTTATTCCACAATCAGCCGAAACAGCTGTAGTGATAAGAGTTTAAAATAAATTTTGTGGAAGTATTTGTGGAAGATCTGTATTTTAAAAAAATACAGATAACTTGGTACAATTATTAACGAAAATAATGAGTAGAAGAAATAAAAATGAGAATTGGACAAGCTAGAGCAACATTTAAACAGATGAGAACAGTATTATGCAGTAGAGACCTTAGTTTGCAACTCAAAATAAGAATATTATGTTCATATGTATTTTCGGTGCTGCTGTATGGGGTGGAGGCCTGGACCTTAAAGAAAGAGGTGAGCAATAGACTTTAAGCATTTGAGATGTGGATCTACCGAAGAATATTAAAAATAATTTGGGTAGACCAAATAACAAATGATGAGGTCCTCAGAAAAATGACAAAGGAAATCGTGAATACAATTAAGATGAGAAAGTTACAATATCTCGGCAACATTATGACAGGGGATAAATATGTGTTGCTACAAACCATAATGCAGGGAAAACGAAGTATTGGAAGAAGATGCATCTCCTGGCTCAACAATCTAAGAAAATGGTACTATTGCAGTTCCATCGACTTGTTCAGAGCTGTAATCTCAAAAGTGAAAATAGCTGTGATAATTACCAACCTCCTTAGAGGAGACGGTACCTAAAGAAGAAACTGTAGCTCCTTTTTTTAGTTAATAATATCCTTAATCAATATCTTAGCAATATATTATCGTAAATATTATTTGCAATTCTTACCTTCTTCTTCTCTTTGCATTTTTATTTTTATTAATTTTCATAGCTTGAATCAATATTTTTACCTCTTCCTATCCTTCTGCATTTATAGTAAATATTCTTATTCCAAAGATATGAGCATCCTAGGCTTGTAAGGCTTTGTATGTATTGTTAATTCAAGTTTGCATTCCTCTTATTTTATTGTTGAAAGAAAATGTTGACCTATTACTGTAATGATCATGGCAAATGTGGGATTGATTTTATATTAAGCTAGAAGATAACTCAGTAAACATTAATGGAAAGGAGTTCACAGAATCATAGAAAAAACAAATACTGTGATCTGAAATTTTCACTCAAATTAAAAGTAGAAGTACAGTAAACATTTTAATAAACGTGTTACAATGGAATTGAAAAAATGAAATGAAGAAATTTGTTTCAAAATGCTGATATACACTGCTATTAATATACCTGATCTAAACTAGACATACTTACGTTAAAAATTTCATTATTTAAATCAACTTTAATAGACTAAATGGTTTAAGCAGTTTGAAAAGTAGGAGAAATTCTACTAGATTAACTTTTAATATTGGTTTAATTGATATAAAAACAAATAAAGAATATTCATCTTAATAAATCACAACCTAAAACATAAAGACCATCAGGAAAAAACTATCAGCTGCATCATCACCACATTCTTACAAGGAATATTTTAAAATGAGTAAAATTTACATAAGCCAATATGTTTATAATTATAGTATTGTATATTAACACCTTGACGGACACCTAAGTTATTCAAAAATAGTCAATTTGTACAGTGTCCTTTTTGTCGATATTATTACCATAATATATTACGATAATTTACCAGATGGGTAACAGATTGGAAGGTATAGATAGGTATTCTACGACAGTGGATTACGTGTTACCATGTATTTATATTATAAATATAACGCGGTACAGCGTTCTGCCACGATATTAGATTTTGTTAAGGACGCTTCACAGCGTTCTGTCACAACATAATTTTAAAAAAAGACGCTGCACAGCGTCTCTGTCCATCAACGTGTTAACAATACACTACAATGAATAGGTTTAAGTTGATATTAGTTTCATTAAGTTGTTATTGTAAATAATGGGCAATGAAAGTTATATCAATAAAGTAACTTTGGTAAGAATTAGAACATTGGCTGGAACATTCTTAAACCACCTTTAAATAATAAACTGTAAAACAAAACAACAAATTCCCATACAACCTAAAATGTATGTTTATCTTTCTCCTTCCTGGACATTTGCTATAAAATATATGAGTTAACTCTTATGCATAGATTTATTAATTTGACATTTAATTGTCATTATGACAACTTATATTAATGTCAATTATATTTTTATTATTGTTTTGGGAGTACATATTCTGACAATATTAACTGCATTATATTCTTACATTTTTCATTTAAAAAATGGATGTTTCATTACATTTTTGAGTGTTATTTTGATATAATGACCTCATTAGGTGGGTATTCATATTCTAAACATTTATTAAACTTCCACTCAAAACACTGGTTACCTTAATTCTTAATTTAGAATAGAATCACTAATATGAAAAGAAGACAGAATGTTCCAATATCTTCACATCAATTCCCAAATATATTTAAATTAGTATCAAGAAAAACAAAGGAAAGTTATCCAGGATAATGTAGAAAGACGATTGGTGCTTGATAGTAGCGAAGAAATACATAGTATCAATAAATTATATGAGTGCATTTAACAATAAACACAGGGAGTATCAAAAAGATAATAAAGCCTGAATATGGAACCAAACACATCTGTTGCTACAAAAAACAACCACTAATATGTACAAACACAGGAGTAAAACCTGATAGGAGGAACACCTAAGGTGTTCACACTGATAGTGAATAAAAGAAAAAGAAGAAAAGAAATATTAAAGAAAAGTAGCTCACTGGTGTTTTAAGAGATAAAAAAATATTAACATTATGAATCAGAGATAAAGACAGTTAGGTAATCAAGAAAAGCTAATAAAAACATGTTGATTAAAATTACTAGAAATTTTATATGTTTGGTTAAAACAATGTAATTTTTTATCCAGGGTGTGCAAGGCCTGTTGAGCATATTAAGGAATAATTACAAGTTCATTCCTTTACAAAATCTCAAAAACCGAAAATAAATGTTTTAAGAACAAATTATATATTGATTATATCGAATAATACGAGGGAATTGATAAGTGTCTTGAAGCAATCATTTTAGACAGCAATGGAAGTGTAATTTTACTCTTTACCAATATTTACCTGATACGGATGGGCTTGGTGCTTCTCGAAGTACCTGCATAACAAAAAAATAAATTGTTAGAAAAATGTATAAAATGTAGATTTACAAAAATAAAATACTTTCGCTACAATGTTACATCGAATCTGTAGCCAAAGACCTTAATGCCTACCCATCGTTCATCCGCTGAGTTTTCCTTGCATGCATTACCATCAATGCAAATCTCTAGAAAATACTTGTGGCTTCTACGACAAGCCGTTTTTCCAAATGATGTCATAAAAACAATAATAACGCTTCAATTTCTCTACGAAGAAACTTTTCTATCAGACGCCATGTCACATAAGGGAACAAATCGCCAATGTTGCCATGTCAACTTTTCATAGTATTCCAATAGTACATTGACATTTGCCCGGTTTTCAATCTTTTATTATAGCATTGTCAATAAAACTAAGAATCAACCATAGATATGAGGTGGAATCAACTTAAGTAAAATAAAATATAGCAAAAAATAGATTTTTCCTACAGTTTACATAAAGTACGTTTCTTAGACGTCTTGTCATATAGATGACGAATAACTTACATATTTCTTTTTATGCTTTAAACTACTTATATTCTCAAAAATCTATTATAAAATTTTGTATCTTTATAGTTAAAAGTTTTTATTTCTTTTATTGGGTATTTCATAACTACTGAATCAAAGTTTTTCTTTCTATTAGTTTTCCTCTTTTTGACTTATCTCTTTTACCCAGCTATTCTACATGTACAAAAATATTTGCCGTTATTATGATAAATTTATTCAGTTAATCTATTACCAAAATTATAATACCATGACATACCTTATTGTAGTATTTCACTCACTGTTATTTTATTTGTCTTATCTACAATTACATAAATATATAGCTATTGGCATAATGATTCTCGATTTCAGTTTTTGAATTTGACAGTTTATCTCTTTAGCTTCTTACCAATTTGACTTTAGAAATGGTGTAATAACATTTATTTACCTGCTTTAAAATAAAAATGTACTGACTATATTCAGATAATTTTCATATTTTGTAAGTATGGATTTTAGATATCTGTAGTTTCTAGTTTTTCTGTATTGTATTTAGTGTAGGTACTTTAAATCTTACTACCACAGGTAAATATATTATTTTTTTATTTATAACTTAAGCATATTAAATCAAATTTGATCAGTATTAAATTTTGTCTGTTTAACCCGTTTTATTCTCTATAAAAACTGTTATAACTAAATTTTGAGGGTAAAGTGCGACCAAAAATAAATAATTTATTTATGTTTTTAATGCGATGTACTCATAAAATATTATTATGATTCACGATTGGCAACGGTGTAATTTTTAACTCATTTAGCAAATTACTGGCTTGACTCATTGGCTGCACTACATGACGTAAGGAGAATGTCAAGAAGCCAACATTAATAAGTTAAAAACCCTATAAAAGATATTATCAAATAACTCTCTACCAGATCCTTAATTTGTGTATTTAAAAATTTCTGGTTTACTAAAATATCTGTTAAAATATAGTTGTACTGTAAAATTTAAAGTTGCTTAAAGATTTTTTATATAGGTTTTGACATATATTTTTTTTTGGTTGGTAGTAATGTTTGAAAAACAAATCTACCTATTTCAATGTTGGTACATCTGATTTTCTGATTGCCATAAAAGATTTACTGCGACAGAGAATGAATAGTTTCTCATTTCCATGGAAAATGGTAGTAAAAAAATACATTTTCAGTTTGAACAATGTAAGATTAAGTGTTTAGTGAACCAATTTATATCCTTTTGAAACATCAACTATTAGATAATAAAAAGTAAGTATACTATACTTATCACCAATGTTGCTATGAGAAAATTGTTCCTAATGTGATCTAGAAATTGAGCTAGTAGGGTACATATTTGGTTTATATTTATTTTTATATAGAACACCTTGACATGAAAAACTAATTTTCCTACCATATTACAGGGCATAGAAGTTAAACTATAGTTATTATTAATGATTAAATTTCATATGTTGTGATTATTTTTTATTACTATATGGTTCTCAGAATAAATCAAGAGCAAAACTTTTACCTTTCGACTGTTATTTTAAAATAATATGGGGTTAATTTCACTATATGGTTCCTATCAATCGTATATGACCTTGTCCCTGAAATTATCACTTTTACTCCAAAAGATTTGTTTATAAATATTCAGTATTTTCATGCTTTATTTTAGTGACACTTATATGGATAAAATTTCGCTTTTGATGCAGTTTTTATATCTGTTTACTTAAGTTATCTTTAATTTGCGATCTCACTGTTGCAAATTATTTTCTTAAGCACCTCTTGGTTCATCTTCCATATCTTATAAAGTTATGAAGGAAAAATATATTTTAGGTAAAAAAAGTAATACAGTTGTAAAGTAGGGAAAGCTGGTAAGTATGCAATGGTATATAGTTAGATCTTCATTGTTTTTTTTTTATGAACAATTGTCATTCTAATCTCATGTTTTATGCCAATAAAAGCCTAATTCTGCAAAAAGGTATTTTACTACTTGAGCTAAAGTGTGCATTAAATCAAACGAAATCAACTTCAGCTTCTACAATTGTAATCACTTTTTCAATGGAAACACCTTAATCACTTTCAAAATGTAGGGTTTTTAATTGGTTTTGGACAGAAAGGGTTTTGTATATTGTTATTTTTGTTTTTTGGTTTAAGTTTCTGCTTCTCATATGCATACTCAATCCAAAATAGCATTTGTTTGCTATTTTGGATTGAGTAGGCATACACTTGATTTCTTCCGTCATGACGTTCTCCTTGGTGATCAGGGAGCCTAAGCCTGTGATTTTGTGCACCACTTCAAAGGTAGAGTTATCAACCGTGAATGGGTGGCTGATGTTTCTGGCTCTATTGTTGAGTATTGATGCCATTGTCTTAGTTTTCTCCTCATTTATTTGCAGGACCATCTTTTTTGAGGCATTTAGCTTCTAGCTTGCATGTTGTGCAGGCAACTAGGTCAACATCATCTGCATATGCCAAAATTTGGGATGATTTGTTAAAAATGTTTCCTCTGTTGTCTATTTGGTCATCCCTGACCACCTTTTCCAGAGCTATGTTGAAAAGGAGACACACCAGCACATCTCCCGATCATCAAAACATATTTGCCTGAGCACAAAGATCTGGTCTGTTGTTGATCGACCAGACCTAAAACCACATTGATATTCAGTAAGAAGCTCCTCTGAATATGCACTCAGGCGACCATATAAAATACTCGAAAATATTTTATATGCTGTATTAAGGGGGGTTATTCCCCTATAGTTTCTACATTCCAATTGATCACTCTTTTTGTGTAGCGGGCAAATGATCCCAATACACCACTTTTATGGGATTTGTTCCTCATTCCAGGCTCTCAGTTCCTCATTCCAGATTTTATATATGATTAGTCAGAGTAGCACCTCCACATTTAATAAGTTACGTGGGTATACTTCCTGGAGATTTAATATTTTTTAGGTGTTTTATTGCATCCCATACTTCTTGAATTGATGGAGACTCCAATGGTCTATTGTTGCTTGCTTCTGGGGGTGGTTGATTTGGATTCTTAAATTCTTTTCTTTCATTATTTAGATTTTTATAGAATTTTCTTGTTTGATTTTCCTTTTTTTAATGCCTCAAGTTCTTCCAATATTCTATTTTCATAAGTTCGCTTTTTTCTCCAATGGATGTACTTCTCTTCTGAGATCTTTATATTTTTGTTCTTTTTCTCAGGCTTTTCTTTGCTGTATCAGTTTATATGCTTGTTCTTTCTTCTTGTAATGTCCTCCCACTCAGCATCGAACCACTCATTGCGTGGTGGTCCTAGAATGTTATTTGCTGCGTCTTTAATATAATTTTTTTACACATTTCCCATTGTTCACTAATTGTTAGATTTTCGTTAGTTATGTATTTCATTTCATTCATTCATTCATTTCTTGTACCAACTAGAAATTGATCTGAATCAATTTTGACGCCTCGATAGGTGCGGACATCTATAAGGTTGGAGAAGTGTCTAGCATCTATGATCACATAATAAATTTGGTTGTTCTGTAATCCATCAGGAGAGGTCCAAGCCCCCATATGTATTTTTTTGTGTAGAAAACATGTGCTTCTTACGATCATCTTCTTTGAGGCTGTGAAGGTGACTGCTCGGTTTCCATTAGTATTATTATGGAGACAATATTTACCAATGTGCTGTAGATATATTTCTTCTTTCCGATTTTTGTGTTTAGATCACCAATTACCATTTTAATGCCATTTCTGAAACAATTGTCATATGTTCTTTCTAATTCATCATATTAATTGTCTTTTTCTTCGTCTTTTTGTCCTCTGTTGGGGCATGTACATTAATAAGGCTAATATTAAAAAACTTGCCCCTGATCCTTAAGCAGCTCATTCACGGATTTATTGGCTTAAAATCTATAACCAAGTGATTGACTTTATTATTGACTATAAAGGCTGTCCCAAATTCATGTCTGGTTCTATGGTAACTATAGTATATATTGTAGTTTGCTTTTTGGATTATGCCATGGCCTATCCATGGTACTTCTTGTATCGCAGTAATAGCAGCATTATATTGTGCTAATATGTCGCACCTGTTGCGGATGTTTTCCAGCTTTGTTAAGTGTGCTAACGTTCCAGGTAAATACATTAAGATCATTATTTCCATTATTCAGGTCCTCATTTCGTTGCATAGGTTGTCGTCGAGATTTCTGTCCATCATTTTTGACTTTCGATTTCGTAACTATGGGGTTTTACTGGGTTGGGTAGTTAACCCAAAGCCACCCCCTTTTCGGAGAGTCATTTCACCCGCTCTCGTCAGTTCCCTAACCAACTTTTCACCTAGGTTGGATACTGGATCTCCAGCTGGGTTGCTCGGTTAACAGGGGACACCAGCGTGAAGCTGAGAGTCGGATTTAAGTAGAAGAGGCTAGTTGGAGTAAACTGGAATAAGCTCAATGTATTCGCATTCTACCCCTTTATCCCCCTTTTGTGACATTGCTGCTACGAATATTTCCGATCCCATTCCGTCATTACTCCTTCACACTTCATCTCTTCTTTTGACTTCAGAGCTGCATCGTTTGGATTCTGATACTTGCATGCTATTTTTTGAATATATAAATTTGTATACGTCACAAAAATGTCCAAGCCAGGTAAATGCGTGGCAATATTTTCTCTTCTTGCGCGAGCATTGCGAGAACCGCCAAATTTTCTCTATTTTCGTGCATCCTTTGCACGATAATACAAACGCCGGTCCTCTGTTGGCTCAGTGTCTGCATTGATTTGTCTCAATGTTCCCTCATCATCATTTTTTCAG